CAAAGTGCCAGGTGCCCTCGGGGGCAGTTCCCGCAAAGTGCCAGGTGCCCTCGGGGGCAGTTCCCACAAAGTGCCAGGTGCCCTCGGGGGCAGTTCCCACAAAGTGCCAGGTGCCCGGTGCCCTCGGGAGGCAGTTCCCGCAAAGCTGAGCCCCTATTTTAAGACCCGATTCTGGTCAGCACGACTCTGGTCAGCACGGCTGATTTACCTGATGGCTCCTGGCTCAGAAGGGCCTTTAGCACCTCCCAGCTGCTGTCCTTGAGCCCAGCAAAATGGTAAGCTGTGCTGACTCTGGTTACCAACTCCAACATTGATTTTTTTTTTAATCGCTCTGCTACATGTTGCTAATGAAGCCACCAAATGAAGGCTTCAGTGAAATAAACTGATTTGGGGGTTAAGAATAAGTGTTTTAAACACCTGTGGGCTGCACATATGTTGCTCATTGATAATTGCTGCCTGGATAAGGAGCTTGCTGCTTTTTAAAATATACATGCTATACCAGCCATCTTTTTATAATCCTAGCAGGGTTCACACTAAAATGGAGAGTGTTCTTTAGAGGACATTAAAAAGGGTGCATTCAGGGTTTGAAAACTCAAGCTGGGGTGTGCTTCTCATCAGGAGAGGTGGTCACCAAGAAATGCCCAGAGGGGACTCACCGCCCCTCACCCCCACCCCTCCCCACGTGTGCCTCTGGTCTTAGGCAGAGTTTGTTTCTTCGCAAATTAAACTCTCACTGGCCCAGAGAGTGGGCCCAGTCAATGGCCATGATGGTGGTTGAGGGGAGCGGAGCCCCTAAAGCTCCCCCAGAACCCCCCCGCATCGGCCTCCGTGATGAGAGACCCCAGTCCCTCCTTCCTCTATGCAGGGCCTGCAGGAAGAGGCGCTGGACTTGGGGACGCAGGTGGAGGCTGCAAGGCCCCTCATCCAGGGGAACCTGAACCAGCAGCACAAGATGGACCAGCTTTGTGCTGACTGCCAGGACCTGCAGAGGACACTGGAGGTAGGGCAAGGAGCCTGCTTGCCTGGAGTCCCGGGCAGACCCAGGCCTGGAGTCCCGAGCGCCTGGGGCCTCCCCCACTCATACCCCTTCATTCCTTCCTTTTCTCTTTCCTTTCTTTCCTTTCCTGCTCACTCAACGTATAATCATTGAGTGCCACCTGCATGCCAAGTAGTGTCCTGGGCCCGAAGGATGAGGCAACACAAAACGGCCAGGACCCAGCCCGAGAGGAGGAGGTGTGTTCGTTCTAGAGGGTAGATGGGCAATGAGTCAGCAAGCCAACCGGCAAATAAATCCCTACTGCGCCCAGGACCCTCAGAACGGGGCAGGCGGCTGGGACCTGCCGGGCATGCGCAGTAGGCACCTGCCCACTAGCGGTGTTTCAGGCGGAAAGGCCCAGCCATGGCCTCACCTGCAGCGCCCTCTGGTGGCCACCTGATTCTCTTCTGGTGGCGCCCTGGAGAATGGCTCATTCAAAATGGACCGAAGGCGGGGTTCTCCACCCTCCGCAAGTCGGCTGTCAGCAACAACTGCTCCTGACATCTTTGAAATTCAGGCACTTAAACGTGTCATATAGTGTCTAAAGTAGAAGAGACTTTAAAGGAGAGTAGTTATCATACAGTAATGCCTTCGAATAGTGAGGTGGCCCATTAGAGGGCTGTGATTGTATGCGTAGGTTGTTGCCTAGATTGTTTGTCAGGGTGGCTATAAATATTCCACATGGAACTAGCCCTCAGCAGACTTAGCGTTCTGCTGTTCGAGGCACGTGGGTCCTTCCCAGTTGGCTTACCAGTGACACCCCACTCGTGCCTGTTGGTGAGGATGTGTTCACACAGACACCCTGGGGTGAGGTGGTTGGGTCACATGATGCCTGGGTTGTTTTCCCAAGTGGTTGTGCCCAGACAGTGGACAATAGTAACCATTGCCCACACCCTCGTCCAGACTTGGCCCTTTCCACAGAAGTAGGACAGGCGTGGAGGCCCTTGCAACCAGATCCATCCTGCCCCGGTAAACTCTGCACCAAGAGAAGGAGGGACCAGTCTCGCCCGTTCCTGCTGGGTGGGGAGGCCTGGGACGGTCTTGCCCTGGGCCCGGGCAGGTCTGGGGGCCCAGCAGGGTTAGGAGGGCCCCAGGGCTCACTGTCGGCCAGCGCTTAGGGCGCCCTGGCCCCCCGGGGCTGTGCCGCAGGACCTGCTGGAAGCATGCAGACAGCGTGTGTGGGAGCACTGCGCCTTCAGCCACAAGCTGCTGGAGCTGCGACAGTGGATGGCCGCGGTCACTCAGAAACTGGAGTCATTCCGGGGGGACGCAGGCCCTTGGGATGCCGAGTCCAGGGAGGCGCAAGTCCAGGTAAGAGCCCAGTTCTCTGCCCGGCACCCCCAGCGAGGCTCCCAGGAGGGGGTGCAGCGCCCCCTCCAGGACCTCACTCTGCGTGGACGTGTCCTTCAGAGGCTGCTGGATGAATTCCCGGAGAAGGAGGCCCAGCTGCCCCTGATCGAGGCGCAGGGCCGGCTGGTGATGGAGAAGTCCTCCCGGGAAGGGGCCGCTGCGGTGCAGATGCAGCTGGGGGAGCTGGCAGAGGCCTGGCGGGCCCTGAAGCTGCTAGAGGAGAGCCTGCTGAGGTGAGGGGCTCTGGGCTGAGCCCGGTCTTGGCATCACCCCTCCCTATCGGGCTGCACCCCGTGGTGCTCCTGGCACAGACAGCTGGGTCCTGGGGTCCTGGGCCCAGCTGGCCGTTTCAGCAGGAGCGGTAGCAGAAGCACCCCAGCACGAGACAGCCTCCAGCCCTCGGGCTGAGGCCGCACCCCAGCGAGGGTGAGTTTGTGTGCCCCTGCGTGTTGGGAAGGGGTCTCGGCTGGGAATCTGGAAACTCACTGCCTGGGAGCACTCAGGCAGACTGGAGGCGCAGGGTGCTGGCGAGGACTGGGAGTCGCCCACAGCGTGTGAGCCCCATGCGACTCCCCCGGCCTGAGGGGACCCCGTCACAGCACCCCACTGACGGCGCTGATTTGCCTTCTCAGCCTCATCAGAAACCAGCAGCTGCGAAGGACAGAAGTGGATTCTGGGAAGAAAATGGTTTTCACCAACAACATCCCAAAGGCTGGATTTCTCATCGACCCCCGGAACCCCATTCCCAGGCATCGCCGCAGGGTGAGTCGGCCTAGTGGGCTTCTGGGGAGGTGCCGAGTCTGGTGCGGGGGCTCCAGTGGAGACGTCCCCCGCACCCACTCCCGCCCACTCAGCTGGGACTTGGCCACGGCTCGAGGCCAGGATGGACAAAGGGCCACCTTGGGGGCCGGAGAGGCCCTCGCCCGTAAGTGGGGCAACTGCCCCAGCAAGAACCCGGCTCAGGGTTGAAAGCTCATGGCTAACCCCAGGGTGGAAACAGAAGTCACGGAGGGTTGGGGGTTTTGTTTGTCTAAAGTTGTGTTTTGTAAAAAGAAGGCGCCTAGCTGCCTTGCCCGTCGGCTGCCTTCAGGCACGTGAGGCATGTGAGCCACGTGAAAACAAAAGGCATTGACACCCCAAGGGAACACGTGAACCCCTTCACTGTCTCACCCATCCTTTCACTCCCAAACATCTAGGTGCGTTACTGTGTTTGGGGGGCTGTTGTGGAGCTGGGGTACAGCCATGGCCGAGACAGAACACTCGCGGCCCTCAGAGCAGGGGGGGCCAGCGCAGAGCTGTTCGTGTGGTCACGCCCCCGCCTGGGTTAGACGCTGAGTCTGGCCAGCAGGTCCCCGGGGCCCCAGTCCTCAGGCACCCCAGGCGAGCCCACCCCCCAGGGCGCACGGCCCAAGGCACAAGAGCAGCGGGAGCCACGGGCAGTTAAAGGAGAGTCTGCGAAGAGCCTGGCTGGGGTGGAGGGCTGGATGCCCCGGGGCCTGCTGCAGGAGGTCGGAGCCCACTCTGGGGTAGAAGTGACTTGTGGGGAGCCCTTACTCCGAGCAGGTGAGGAGCAGAGGGGCTGTGTTCAGGCAGGGGAGAGGGCACGTGCAAAGACCAGAGGGAGAAACACCAGCGTTGCGGCCACGAGGCAGCTTGCCAGCTTGGTCAGAGATGATGGGGGAGGTGCCAGCAAGGGTGGTCTGTGGCCCTTACACAGGCCGTGGGCACTGAGACGGTCTCCTCCCCCGGCCGCCGTCCCATGGCTCCTCGGCGCCTCATCTCACCCCCTGCCCGCGGGAATCCCATGGACGCCCGGCCCGTGGGCCGTTTTCAGCACCTCTGATGTTCTGGTCTCACTGTGTGTTTCCGCAGGTGAACCTTCTCCAGGAAGAAGGTGGCAACCCTGAAGATTTCCCCCTGCTCCTGAGGAACTTTGAAGAATGGTTGCAGGTGGAAAATGCCAAGTTGGTTAGAATCATCGCCATGAAAACCGCCACAGCCCAGGACGTGAGGACCAGAGAGATGAAGCTGCAGGTGTGTGCCCAGGGATAGGATGCTTTTGTTACAGGGCACCCCAGTGTGAAATGGGTCCCCTGTCTGTGGGCCTCACCCGCGAACCTAAAATTCAGTTGCACTGCAGGCACACACAAAAGGGTCAATAACGTGTTTATATACAAAAGGGGAAAAGAAAAGGAAACAACTGGAATATCTTAGCGGCTGAGCTGAACTGGAGCTCTGGTAGCAAACTAACTGAAAACCCCAAGTCACATGGTCCCGAGATCCATTGCCCGAGCAAGAGTGAGAGACGCAATCACGTCCTATTTATCCCCCAAATGTCCCAGAATGCTGCTTAGCTCCGCCCATGGGCCCTCGCAGTTCTCTCCCTGGTGCTGCTGGGAGTTGTAGTTTCCAATCACTGGAGCAGGGGGCAGAGTCCAGAAGCTGGAGTAGGGGGTGGAGTCCACAAGACTCTGCAGAGTTCCTTTAGGACATCCTGCCCCTTAACACTTTGTCCTTGGTGTTTGCCACCAGGACTTTGTCCATGAAGGGGCTGCCTCTGGCTGGGGGCCCTTCCTGCCTGGCTGTGAGTCATGGTTTTTAAACATTTGGGGTTCAAGTATTTCAGACACACTTTAGAGAAGGGTTCATCAATCCTGCTTATGCATTCCAGGCTGGAAAATATCATCCCAGTCATGATCCCTGAGTCAGTTAGCTGTTGCCGTATAACAGTTGACCCCAAAAGTTTGTGATTTAACAGCAGCTATTTATGTAATGTGGTTCTGAAGGCTAGCAAGTTAGGCTGAGCTCCGCTGTGCAGGGGCTGGGCTGGGCCGGGCCGGATGGTGGGCTGGTCTGGGTTGGGTTGGGTTGGACTGCTGTTAGCTGTCAGTTACAGGTCTGGTGGCTGGCTTTGCCCCCAGGGGTGGTAGTTGCACTAGGCATGCCCAGGCTTCCAGCAGAGGCAGTTCTAAGACAGCAAAGAGTCCAGGCAAGGCCTTTGGAGATGTAGAGTAGGAACTGGCACGACGTCAACTCCCCTGCATTCTGTGGGACAAGGAAAGTCCGAAGACCCGCAGCCCAGACTCCAGGAGGCAGCAAGCAGACTGCCTGCTGCTGGGGAGCCTGGCAAAGCTGCCCTGAAAAGGGCCTGGGTGTGGCAGGAAGAACTTCTATATGTGTCTATTAAACTCTTAACTTTTTTTCTTTTTTAAGATTTATTTATTTATGCATACAAGAACTGGGGTACAGGCCAGAGGTGCGGGGGGTGGGGGAGGATGAGAGGATTTACCAGAGAAAGAGTCGGGAGGAGAACAGGCAGACTGACCGAAATACGCTGCTGAGGGGAGCGGCAGGAAGACAGGAGAGGTCTGCCGTGCCTGTGGGTCGCTCCCTGGCCAGGAATTGAGTTCGTGCTGCAGTGGCTGTGATGGCTTCATAGTGCTGCACTTTAACCTGTTGCGCCACCAGGGAGGGCCCAGCTCTTAGTCTTTGATGTTGTGCTCTTAGTCTTCTCTGGAATGTCTACCTCATCCCTTTCAAACTTAGCTCTGTCATTTTCCATTGCTTCCAGATTCTTGCTGAAAATTTGAAGCTTGCCTTTTTGTGTCTGCACACAGTCAATTCACTTGTTTCACGGTGTTAAATAATGCCAGCAGCTCGGTCATGCCAGGAATGTTTGTAGTTTCTGCATTTGTTCATGGTGCCTTGTAGCTGAGTGTGGCTACTTTGTGTGTGTGCTGGACATCATTTGGCAAGTAACGTGGAAGAGTAATGGGAGATTTAGGGTCATCTCTTCTCCAAAGAGGATTTTGTTTGCTTCTACCTGGAAGAGGCGGTGCTGGGGAGGAGGCCACTTCATCCTACTGTAGCCACCACCTCCGAGTTCAAAGCTTGAGATTCCCTGGGCCCATTTGGAAATGGATTGCAAATCCATTTCTGTGTCGTCTTTAGGAGTCCCAGCCAGGAGGAGACAGGTGGTCAGGTGTCCACTCTGCAGGACTGCGGCCTTGTCCCCCGGCTCAGGGGGAGGCTGCCAAGGACTAATTTAATTCACAACTCATTTTTCCATGTTGTCAAATGTCCCGGCCTCCTCCTTTGGGTTCTCATCCTTTCCCAGGTTTTGGCCTGTAGTGCTTGTTCTTTGGTTAACTCTTCGATGCCTTCTAAATGCTCTTGACAGTCCTCAGTGAGAGGTTTGATCTTGTTGCCAAGTGGGCCCTTCCCACTTGGGAACAAGGCCTTCCTGCCAGCCTGCTACCTCCTCTCTGGTCACTCCCTTCATTTCCCACCACCACCCAACCCCAGCAGCTCAGACAGCAGGGAGCGCCTCCCATTAAGCTCTTTTTTTTTTTTTTAATTTTTTTTTTTAAAGATTTATTTATTTGTACATACAGAACTGGGGTACAGGCCAGAAGCTCAGGGGCGGCGAGAGGCTTCACCAGAGACAGAGTGGGGAACAGAACAGGCAGATCGACGAAGTACACTGCTGAGGGGAGCAGCGGGCGGGTCAGGAGAGGTCTGCCGCACCATGTGGTCACCTCCAGGGCAGGCGGGAATCGAACTCATGCGGAAGCGGTTTTAGATTCTCAGTGCTGTGCTTTAACCCGCTGCGCCACCAGGGAGGGCCCCATTAAGCTCTTTTAAGCTCTCATTCTATGGGCTCCTAGAAGCCAAGCAGCTTGCCCCAGATCACACAGCCAAAGTCCGTGCAGTCCCAACAGCACTCTGCCAGGCTTAGAAACACCAACAGACACACTTAGCCAGGAAGCGTTTACCGCGATAGCGGACTTGGCTCTGTAACGTCAGACCTGGAAGTAACCAGGGACCTCAGCAGTGCTGCTGCGCCTTTCACGCCATTCCCTCCTGGAACAGTCTGGAGAGCGCTGCCTGGCCTGAATCGGCAGGGCTGGGATTTTCATTTGACAGTTCTCAAGAGCAATGTGGCTGGTGCCCTCTCCCGCCGGTGGGGCGGGCCACATGGCAGTTCTGCCTCTTCCCTCCAGGACCTGGAGGCCCGGGTACCAGAAGGTCAGCAGCTCTTTGAGAACCTTCTTCATCTCGGACCAGCGAGGGGGGCTTCAGATGAGCTGGAGGACCTGCGGTACCGGTGGATGCTGTACAAGTCCAAACTCAAGGACTCCAGCCTCCTGATGGTAGGTCCCTGCGGTGCACAGGTCCCATCCTGGGGCTGGCCCATGGCTGAGCCCTACTCCCCTGGGAGGTCACGTCAGCCCTTCTCCACCCTCTACGGGCCTCCACAGACCGCCTTGGGCCAGTGCAGTGGCCACTTCAGGCACAGAGAAAGGACTGATAGGTTGTCATCTGGCCATCGAGCCACCCCGTGAGGCTGCAATGCCAGCATGACCTCCGCGTGCCTCCGGAATGTCAGCATGACCTCCGCATGCCTCCCTCCACCAGGGGAATAGTAGCACCAACCTCAGAGGTGAACGTTCCTGAGGCCCGTCCACGGTCACAGGCCTGCAAGGGTGCAGCCAGCACTCACCCCACCTGGTGATGGAGGATCCTACTGGACTGGGCCTGGGGCCTGGGATCTGGCCCCACCCCTCTGTGAAGGTGGTGTGTGCCTGTGCACGTTTGACCCCGTTTCTCCTCACACAAAGCGACAGTGATCACTAAATGAATCATAATAATCGCCTTTGTTCGTGCTCTGCCCTCATAACCCTATGAGAAGGGCCCAGTTGTTACTCCCTGAGAGCCAAGGAGGAAACTGAGGCATGGTGGTTAACTCGGGTGGGGGTGGGGAGCCCGGAACCCTTCTCAGCTCTCAGGCCCTAAGCCCCTACACCGAGGCTTGAAGCTGCCATGCTGGCCGCCAGGTGTCAGTGCTGCGCCGGCCGTGGCCGTGGCTGCCAGCCCAGAGGCCCCACCTGGGGCTGAAGTGCGTTAAAAAGCTCATTAAGTGAATCGCCTGCTGGCTCAGCCTGTCCAGATGACCAGGAGTTTTAAAGAAACACTCCCCTGACAAAATGAATATTCCATTACAGACTCTGCTGGGATTTGAGTTTCACTCACTTAACTTCTTTTTTTTCCCTTTTCCTCTCCTTTCCTAAAATAACAGACGCAGAGTTCTCCAGGGGAGCCGACTGGATTCCAGAAGGTACGGTGTCTGCCATCTGCTGCACACGGTTAGCGAGCAGGGCGTCAGGAGGGTCAGCAGACCTGGGACGCTGGGGTGGCGCTCCTGGCCTTTCTGGAAGGTGCCATGAGGCCCGAGGAGCGTTTGTGGGGTACCAGCCTGGGGGCACTGGCTGAGCCCTGGGTCCCTGCTCTCAGAAGTCCCAGGGTGTCCAGACTGTACTGAGCTGTGGTAGAAACTGGACAGAGCAGGAAACCTGGGTTTTTTGGTCCAAAATGGGACAGTGTAATGAGCAAGAGGGCACTGTTGTAAATATGCTGAGACCACAGGCGAGGAGCAGGGCTGCCCTGGGAAACCGGAGGTTCCAGGCAAACCCAAGCGGGAAGACGCGGGCCACTGGGCACGGGCTGCAGGAGACAAAGAGGAAGGCGCGCTTGCTGTGCCTTCCTGGACTGTAGGAGGTGTTTCCACCCTGCCCCCCAGCGGGGCTCAGAGCTCCCGGAGGCGGCTGGAGCCCAAGGCAGTAGCCCTCACAGCAGTAGTGATGGCAACAGTGAGTGGCCTGGTGCTGTGTGCAGGGGCAGCGAAATCACAGCCTCTCCTTGGTCCCATCTACAACTAACGTCCACGTCTTAACCCTCCATGCAGTGTGTGTGTTGGGGACCCATCCCTGGGGGCTGGTGAGTCTCCTGCTTCTGGAAAATCCCAGGTGATTGCTGTCCCCTGTGCCGTCTTTTATAGCAACAAGTGTTTCCTGCCATACGTGGCTCAAAATGGCCCCATCCCGCAGCCCCCCCCCCCACGGCACACGGGGTTCTGAGGCTCCTCATGCCACCCAGCCTGTGTCCCAGGTGCCTGGCACACCAGGCTCCCGTCTTCTGTGGTGTCCCCATCTCGTGTCTGTGTGGCCGGGCGGCACCAGGCCAGAGCTCTGACCACATGGAGCCGCTGACTTCCACGCTAACGGACCTGGCCTGCTGTGAGATGAGTGACCAGGGCCAGCGATAGAGCCAGCTGGGGCCCATTTGTATGACAACATGTTCAAGGCCAGGTCCACCCCTCTGTTTCTAGCTTCTGATTCACTGCAGTGGGGGTGGTCCCAGAATCTGTGCTTCTAGCAAGTTCCCTGGTGAGGTTGAGGCTGCTGGCTGGGGTGCACACTTTGAGAACTGCTTTATCTCAGGATTTGAACCTGGCCCAACCATCAGGGTGTGTGAGGCTGGGGTGGACCTAACTCAGCCTTCCAGGGTAGAGAAGGGGTGCCCGCGAGGCAGGGTGGGAACTCTGGTCAGAGCCCGCACGCAGTAGCTTCTTGACTGCCATGTGACCGAGGACCCTGGAGCCTTCTCTGCAGAAGTCACTTGTGGGGGGCAGCCTCCCTCTGGCTTGGGGCTCGTGCTGTTTCTGCTGGCTGGGCTGCAGGCATGCACGCACACAGGCACGCACATGGGTAGAAAGTAGGTGCTGTCTGCAGAGGTTGTCACCCTGCCAGCTGCAGAACATTCTCTATATTATTTTCAGGCCAAAGCAGGAGGGAGAGCCTGCCCGGGGCTAATTATTTATGAGCAGTTGGTCCTCTGTGCTTTTTTCTCGCCGCGCACCAAGTCACTGAAAACTCCACCGACGTCAGTGGCTCCAGCCTGCCTGTTTGTATCAACAGAATCATTAAGATTTATTAAATTTGCAGCTGCCTCCACACTGCCAGCTCAGGGCCTCGCACGGGCTGCCCGCCGCGCTCCGCCCGTGAGATGTAATTGCTCTGGAAGCTGCCACTGGCCAGGAGTCCCTGCGGCTCCTGCCTCGGCCTGGGCGTGGCGCCGTCCTCCCCGAGACGAGAGGCTGGTTGAGGTTTGTAAACACATCTGTTGGCCAGGGCCACTTGGGCGGCCCGTGCCGTAGGCGAGAGTCGGGCCGACCCTCCCGGCACCGCCTCTGTGGCCTCGGTGGCAGAGCCAAGGCTGAGCTACCCAGAGTGACATATTATTCACCTGCTCACGCACGTCTTCCTAGGTCCAAAGACTCATCATCTTCCACCTCTCTGGAATCGGGGTCCATTTAGTTTTTCCAGGAGGGTTTGGGTTTGCTCCCCGCCACCCCCACTGGAAACACCATAACCCAGGGTGAAAGTCTCTGCTCAGAGGCTGTGCCTGGCCCCTGCCTTTGGCCCCAGTCTCTGCGAGCCCCCCTGCTTTGCAGGTTCTCAGGGGAGAATCCTCGTCTGTGCCCAGGCTGCGGTGAAGCCCGGCATTTCCTGGCACCCTTCCTGGGAGGGGAGGCGATTCCTCATTTCCCGCCATAGGCAGGAAGGCGGGATCCTGCATGCCCAGGGCAGGGCCGGTCTCCCTGTTAACAGCAGCTTTCTCGCACCGCAACCATGATGATGTTGACAATCCTGCTGTGACAGTCCCCCTCACACATGGGCCTGGTCCTGCAGGTCCATGGCCACCTTCTCTTAGTGGGGAGAGTGGCCTCTTGGCCCCGTTTTATCTGTGACCACGATCCAGGTCAGTCTGGGGCTTGACTTCGGAGCCCGCAATCCGCTGCAGTGTGGGGACGGGTCAGCTTGCTGCTTCTTGGTCGAAGGGCTGGGCTTTGCTGGAGCCAGCCTGGGTCTGACGTTCACAGAGAGAGAGGTGCCTATCACCCAGGCTCTGTCTCGCTCAACGGGAGTCCAGAGTGACTGGCCAGCCCTGGTTTGCAAAAGAGCCATTGCCAGCAGCAGAGCGTCAGATTTTTGAGACTTGTCTTTGACAACTGAAGGCCGGAGAAGCTGTCCACCTTGGCGGTCTGTCTCAGCACCCCTCTGTGGCTCAGCCCGCCTGCCTCTGTGCCCCCCAATCTCTCCTCAATTCACCCCAGCCATGTCCCCAGTAGCTGCGGCTTCAGTGGACGGTAACCATGTTTCGTGCGCTCCTCCTTGGTGTCTTGGTGACCATGGGGTCGGTGCCTATGTTCCCGCTCACGGCTGTCCTGGCTGCTCTTTCCAGCTCTTACTGTGAGTCTCTTCCTCCCCCTCTCCCTCCCTCCCTTCTTCCCTCCATCTCTGTCTCTCTCACTCTTCCCCTCCCCCTAACTCCTCTCCAACTCTTCTCCACAATCAGTGGTAATAAGATTCAGGGTTGATGAAATACCAATACTCAGGCCACAGTTTATATACAGAATTCTAAAGCTTTCTCAATAGTTTACAAAAAAAGATAAGCAACCAGACCTTTGGGGGACAGTGTCCCCTGTTGCTAGTGTGACACGCTTGTGGCAGGCTGTAAGCCAGCACCGCCCCTGGCACATGGACCCCGCTTCACTCAGGACCCACCTTGCGCTGACGCGTGGTGAGGTTTGATGTACTAACTGCAGCAAAGGCACTGACCCACGTCACAGCGACAGGAAGGGTCTCGCTCTAGCGCCCTGACGCCTCCTGGGCGCCTCCTGCTCCTCCTCCCGCCGGCCCTGATAGCCACTGGCCCTTTTGCTGTCTCTACGGCTCGCCTCTCCCGGAATGTAGAACTGTACAGTGTGTCGCCTTTTTAGAGTGACTCCTTTACCTTAGTGATAGGCACTTAACTTCCCTCTGTGTCTTTCTGTGACTTGATAGCTCATTTCTTTTTATCACTTTGCTGGACAGGAGCTGGGGTGGGGGTTCAGGAGCCATGGAGAGCTGAGCACGGGGTCGCAGTGGGTCCTGGCATGGCGTCACAAACAGCTAGAGCCCGCATGTTTTGGGTGGCCCGAGAGGGCAGGGGTCAGTGAGGGTCTGCACCGCTCTTGGCAGGTGCTGAGTGGGGTGCAGGCAGCCAGATGCACAGAAAGGACCTTCCCTAGTCTTCATTCACTCAGCAGACACGACAGGGGTGGCCACAGTCAACTAAAGTAGACCCCAGAGACAAAGAACACAGACATACTCCAGAGGAGATGTGCTGTAAGAGTAGACACTAGGCTCAGTGTCCACCTCGGCCCTGGTCAGGACCTCAGCAGAGGAGGGAGCTGAGGGTGCCACACAGAAGGGTTAATCTGTGCAACAGCCCCGTGGAGGGGGATGTGAGGGCCTTAGGGGGCTGAGAGATGGCATTGAAGAACAGTGACTTCCTCCCCGATGGGACTGTGGGGCTTGCTGGTGCCTGACCCCTGGCAGCGGGAGAAGCTGCAGGCCTGGCAGGAGCAGCCCACCCGCCGACCTGCCCACGAGAGGAGGTGCATGCACTGAGCACCTGCTGCCTTGGTCCGCTAAGGGCCCTGCATTCACCGTCCAGCGATGGTGAAAGGCGACATCATTCTCCCCGCTCCCTGCCAAGCTGAGGAAACTGAGGCGCAGAGAAGCCAAGTTCCC